GAGATGAAAAGAAAAACTAAAGATGAGACAGATCCTGGACACAGAGCAGCTCTATTTTCTTGAAGCCAGAGAGCAGAAGAATAAATGGGCTGGTTGTGTTTGCGTCGGCCTCCAGTCATTCCTTCCTGCCCACGGCTCTTCATGCCGCAGCAGCAGACGGAGGAAGAGGGACGGAGCATGGATCCATCTCTCTTTCTCTGACTCTAAAAACTTTTGGTTTCAGTCTTCCAGTTGGACGCGTGTTTGACTGAAACGTCTGTTAATGAGCAGCGCAGTCTGGGCCTCACTGATAAATGACTGGGTGGAGCCCTGGGTGGGTGTTTGATGGGGGAGAGTGGATCTAAAATCTCGCCTTACTTCCTGTGCACCCCCCCCCTACGCCTGCAGTCTTGTCCCTGGCGGTGGAATCAGCGTACCAGATGATGATGGAGGAGTAGAAGTGCCTAGCTTAACCACCTTAACCACTGGATGTGGACTTCAGGACGCAGTGGATCGTATCAGAGAACTAAACGACACCCGGAGGCTGTGTGTGGATGTGTGCGCTGTGGGTCACCTGTGCATGTTGCCGTTGGTGGTGAACGTCTGTCCGCAGATGGTGCATTTGTACGGCCTCTCCCCGCTGTGGACCAGCATGTGTCGGTCCAGCGACGAGGCCGAGCTCAGGCACTTCCCGCAGATGCTGCAGGAGTGATCGGTGGCGCCGGTGTCGGCGTTGTGCTGCAGGAGAACGACAGCTCAGGTGTTGTTTCGGCTCGGCTGCGGCGCGCGGTGTGGGGGGTGGGGCTTACCTGTCGGATGTGCATGGTCAGCTGGTGCTGCGTCTGGCAGTTCTTGTCGCACAGCGGGCAGATGAAGGCCAAGCTGTCGTCTTTGGTGTCCTGAGGAGACATTAAAACCGCGGCGTGAGACAGAGAATCGATCTTCCTCCGGCAGGAGATTGATTCCACAGAGAAGCAGCTCGTTGCCATGGTGATTCCCTCCTTTTTTTTTCATTTAGCAGAGTCAAAGGCACAGCCCACAGCATCACTTTTATAGTCAGACCTTCTGGAGGCGTCCTCCAGGTCCAGTTTGGACAGAAAGGGCATGTGGGGTCGTCTCTCTGCTCGCTGGGCTCTGATTGGTCAGAAAATAGCTCCTCTAGCACTGAGGGGCAGGAAGTGGGACAGGGGGAGCATTCTGGGGCAGGAAGTGGGACAGGGGGAGCATTCTGGGGCAGGAAGTGGGACAGGGGGAGCATTCTGGGGCAGGAAGTGATCATTTTCTGATCAGACAGAACCTGAGGAGCCGAACCACACGGACATCTAGAGGACACGCCCCCCCGCTGAGGAGAAACCTTCACACACACACACACATATTGTGTCACAATATCCTTGTGGGGACCTTCCATTGACTTCCATTCATTTCCCACTAATTTATATGGCCTAACCATGACCCTTGCCCTAACCCTAACCATTACCGACACACACCTATCCCTAAACCTAACCTAAACTCTATTCACACCTTAGTCCTAAACCTAACCCCCACCCCAAGAAGAGAAACTTTCCTTATGGGGACCAGTTGTTGGTCCCCACAAGTACCTATGAGTCCCCAAAATGTAGCATATTCCTAGGAAATTGTCCCCACCAGGTATTAAAGACATGGCCACACACACACACACACATCCTCGGCTCAGGAGGCAGAACTTCCTATTTCCTGTTTGAGGCACAGGAAGCCCTGACAGGAGCAGGAATGCCCCAGTGCATGATGGGAAAGGAGGAAAGTAGCACGGCGGCGAGGCCTGCGTTTCCTACCTGGTTGCGTCGAGCGTTGCGACCTGGCGGGGCTCTCATGGCGGCCGTCAGAGACTTGCTGGGCGAGGGGCTGCGCACAGAGACACAGAACTACGTTACATAGATGCTGACTCTGATAAACCCAGAGGGGTTCAAAGCCGTGGAGCAACTTTATCCCACATCTGGTCGGTTTTTGATCTGAAACGGTTCGGTTTGTCTTCCTGCTCTGGAAAAACTATTTAGAAATAAGTAAATATGTCTTAAATTAAATGTATTTACCATTAATTTGAGAAGGTAAAGTAGAAAGTTTGCTAATAGAATGAGTATTTTTACTCTTAAAATAAGATAAATAGATAATATGCACTTGAAATAATAGTTTTTTTCTTTTATTTTAAATGTAAATTGTCTTTTTCCATTGGATAAATGTTTTATCTCCTCCATTCAAGAACAAACGCACCTATTTAAAGAAAAAAAATGACTCATCTAGAATTAATTTTTTCAGTGCAGGTTCAATTCCCTCAGCACCGACCCGATGAAGCAAGGCAGTGTGTTACGTTTGCATCAGTTACACTAAAGCAGACAGTTTAACCGCCTGCCTTAAAGAGACAGTTTGAGGAATTTTAAACATTGAACAGCTGTTGGCTAATCAGAGTTCTGCTGACTCAGCAGATTCTCGTCACTCTGAGCCGCTCGGCAGAAACTCCCCAACAGGCTGAAGGAGAAACTGAAGGAGAAACAAGTCTGACGCCATAAATAAACAAACTACAGATTTAGATTAAAACCTTCTAAAAATGAGATCAAAGGCTAATTAAGAAGTTTAATCACCTTTTTTGGTCTCGATTATAAACTTATATAAAGCAGAGATGGAGGGATTTATAGTCCGACTGATGTTTGTTTTGTTTTTCTCACATCAGCAGCAGCTTCTGTCTGGATGCGTTCGCTGATGTGTCAGAGCATCATGGCTGCTCCCTCCATCTTCCAACCTCTGCTAACGTTTGTTTTTTTTTTTTATTTAGAAGTTTTAGTTCATGTTTAAACTGAGACTTCTTTAATATTTGTTAGAAGTTTGTCATTTTTATCACACAAATAGAGGAAGAAATGTAATATCCGCTTAAAAAAATGGGCCCAAAGTCAAGTAAACTTCTCGGCCTTCCACCCTAAAGACCCGGTAAATCTTTTTCTTCTGTGAGTGAAATCATTTTGGAAGCAAAACTTGATCTATCTCTATA